CATTAAACAAAAAAACATCACCCTTCCTAACAACAGGTCAATACCCAAATATGGAAATGCTTATATATATTCTAACACTTCAACAATTAAACTAGTTTAAGGGCCACTAAAATTATTACTGATATAAACTAACAAAACTTTACGGATACAAACTAACAACAGTTAATAAGGATTTCACAGTAATGAATACACAATAAAAAATAACAAGTAATTATATAAAAGATCACCTTAAAAATAAATTTTCATTTTTAATTATCTCACAGTATGATAGTAAAAACATACAATACTAAGATACTCATACAACCAAATATATTCCTTTCAATGAGTTTGAAGAGAGTTTCATATGTAGCAGAGTTATTTCATTACACTTACTGTAGTTGCTTTCAATATTTTCTGGTCCAAGAAAACTTACACATTAATTCCTTTCCAGTCATAAACCGTTGATAATTCTCAACAAAAAACTTGGCCACCTGAGAATGAAAAGATAACCTCAGTATAAAATGTACAAAATACCAAACATTCGACCAGAAAGTATGCCCCACACTGCTGGTTGTGTAATGGTTGAAAGTTTAAATAAACAGTCATTCCTATATTTATATATTTGCTAGTGTCTAGTTTTTCAACATCACAAGCTATTGTATATGGCTGAACTAATTAGAATGAAATTTGACAGAGCTTAAATGACTAAAAATTGGACAAGCAGTGAGTTTGGTAAATATTTAAATTTTTAAAATATGAACACAATGCTACATATATCATGGGTATTTTAGATAAATGGTTCATGTGTTACAACCACTTCAAATTTTCCCTTTACCAATGCCTATTTCCCAAACTCTTGTATTCAGTGGATCTGCATGCCAAGAATCATCCCCATGAAACTAATGAAAAAACAACAACAACAACAAACTTGCATGTGGTAAGGGAACTTTTCTAGAACACACATACTTTCACTGTAAAAATAGATCATTAAATGAAATTCTATAATAAACCAAATTAGTTATAGATTATTATATCAGTAATAAAATTAATAAGTAACAGATAAGAATAATGAAATCAGCAACAGTACACAACTCATTAATCTATGCATTATAATCATTATCACAATTGATATCTTTTGGTATTTCATACTCCAAGTTGAACCATTATATTATCTTTGCTTACTGTATCAATTTGTAGTTCTTATCTATTTTGTTCGAATGATATGACCAGAAGTATCAAGCACAGTACTTACATTCTGTGGTTTTAATACAGATGCTTTGTGTGGTGTAATAATAACCTGTAATGTAAAAAAAAAAACAAAAAAAACATTTGAAGTGTAATGATAAGAGATGACATTATCAAAGTTGGGAATTTACTCTTATGAATTATTCACAATAAGTCATTTGAACTTTGATTCATCACCAAACTTAATTTCTTTAACTTGTTATTTCTAATTTGATTATTATAAATATGATAGTATATATTAACTGATAACAGATAAATTGCCATATCAAAATTTAATATTTTGTTACACTGAAAATGTATTTTCGATAGGTACTTACCTTCCTTCACTCAAAGCTATATATCTCGACCTTGGTTTGCCTTCTAAACATTGCTAAACTTTAATCGCTAACAACTCACCAGTCTTTCATACCCCCTTTTATTTTTGTGCCATAAGAAAAGAAGGCACACGTGTGGGGTATCGCTCTATTTCTGGAACAGGTATGCTCTTTGCCCAATAATGAACACAGTAATACATATAGGGCAGAAAGTAACAAGCAGGCATTATGTCAGATAATACAGAATCAGCCCCTTGTCAACAGAGAGTGCATAATTTGTCCACATGTTTAGCAAGCGTTAGCATGATACATAGTGATAGTTAGTCATAGTGAGGTGCCTGATAATTAGATATAAGTATACATGGCTAGGGCTAAAAGACCGTAAATTATATATGAATAGGCCAAGTGCAGTCTGCCTATGCAAAAAGCATCCAGGGGTAGTGACTTAGGATACTATTGAGTATGTCAAGTGTGGTCCATCCTGGCAGAAAACATCCAGAGGATCACCTTATATAAGAAATTTATTCTGTGATCAACGAGTGCAGTCAGCCCGGGCAAAAGCATTAAGGGTAAGTGCCTTGGATCCAGAATATTATGTTATTGCATAATCAATAAGAATAATGACAATAGCCGTCTTCTCACTGAGTGGGTACATATGAGTTATATAATGGCTAGAGACAGCTTGAATGGGTAACAAAGAAAAACTTTAATACAAGTTTAACATAATAGCAAATGTACAACGAGTTACCCCAGTCAAAAATGAACAAATGTGTGTAAAATCCCCACCAGATGAAGACAACTAAAATATGCAGATACTGTGCAACAAATTATTGGGAGTTGTCCACATACCAGCCTGAATGATCTCCTCCAAAAGACTGGTTTAGAACAGCCAAAAATATAGTTAGATGACGAAGATAGTGCAAAGAAACATTATGTAGATGGCAACCTTCCATGCACTCAGAATATGCCAGTCATATGAGTTGATGAACCAAACCAGTGAACGTAATAGGCGATAGATCACAGGAAACACAGGAATTCCACATAACAAATAGACAGTAACAAGAACCCCAAAAAGATGCAGTAAAAACCATATAGCATAGCAGGGAATGAAATGGACAAAGTAGTCAATCTAGATCCAAATGGGAGTACAGTTGAGAAATGGAAGGCAAGGAATTAAGAGAAAAGGCTAAACAACCTTCCTGGGCAACCATTGTCCTGGAAAGGAAGGCCCAATCTTGACAGAGGATAACATACAAAGAATTGTAAAGGAAGCAGGAAACATTAATAGCACAAATATCAGAATGACAATGACCAAATGCCAGGAAATAGGTCTTAAGGGAAAGATGGTACAAGGAACACCTTGCAATGAGTTCAAAGGGAGAACTGGACAGGGCATAAAGGACAACATTGAGTTCCTAATCTGGAAGAACAAAGGAACGTGGTAGATGGACCAGATGAAGGGAATGGAAAAGGAGGGGAAATAACCAGGGGCAAGAGAAGGCTTTTCATAAGTGGGAGAATGGAAGGTGTATGACAGGGAAGCCTTATAAACAACAATAGTTGAAACAGACAAACCCTGATCAAACAACCAGGTCAAGAATTGGGACAGGCGAGGACCAGAAGAACAGGATGGTTGGAAGCAATGGCAAATAGACCATGGCAAAGTCTGAAGTAAGACCAACATCTTTGATACATATACAAGGGGAAAAGACAAATGATACAGGCAAAGAAAGATGCTACACGAGGGGTGAGTCCCTGAGGCAAGGGATCAGACAAAAGCCACAAGTAAAGATGGATTTTGGTAACATTGGAAGAAAAAACATCTGATCCCAGTTGTCAGAAGAGCAATCAGAACAAAGATAATAGCAGGGGCTGTTGCTCCAGTAAGGACCAGAGCAGAAGGAACCTCATCTGAGCCAGTCAATACAGAGCAACCAGCGGAACACAACAAGGATTGGTCTGAATAAGGGAAATGACCTGGAGATGAGTCTGATCAGAGGATAGATGCAAGTGAAGATGCCTCCAATCTTGACTGAAAGCATCCACCCCAGAGCTGAGGAGGTGAGGAACTGGAGACCAAAAGGAAGGAAATTTGGCATTCCAGTGAGTGGCAAATGCATATATATATGCAGTATTCCAAGTTGAGAATACACCCACAGAAATACCTGAGGATGAAGGGACCACTTGCTTGGTATGGAATAAGTGATCAGCCACAAGATTCATAATTCCAGGAACATGACATGCGAGAACAGTCATGTCATGGTTGTTAGTCTAGTACAGGAGATCCAGAGTCTGGAAACACAGAGATCTGAACTTGGCTCCCCTTGCTTGGTGATTTAGATGATGACAGTGGAATTGTCAGAATGAACCACAACCACCTGACCCTGCAGGAGTGGGAGAAAATGATACAGAGCCCAACGAACTACCAAAGGTTCCAAGATGTGGATATAGAAAGTTGCCTCCTCGACTGACCACCAACTCAAAATCTCTTGAGAATCGAGGAAAGCCACCCACTAAAATCCACCATGGAAGCATCTGTGAGCAGATGGGACTCTGGACGAGGAGGAGAAATAGGAACCCCTATGGTGTTCAAGTCCCTGTTGAGGGGCACCACCTGATCGATAGCTCATTTGTGTATGAAATCTAAAACAGACTCGGCAAGATGACTGGACGAGGTACGATCCTGAGGAGGAGGGAAGGAGATCTGAGAAGTGGATAGAGGGGGAGCAGAACTGAAGGAAGTAACCCACAAAAAGAACCCATAGAACCCACAAAACTGTCACGATGTGTAGCCAAAAAGATACATAAACTAAACATACTTAAAGAATGTACAAATTACTATCGAACTAACAAAATTCAAAAATTTTTAGAGACTACATATATAAAAATAACAAAAATAACAAACCTGCAAAACTAAGAAAGTTGACCTAAAACATAAAACAATAAGCAACACCTAGAGTATAAAACCACTAAACAAACCAATAAGATAAAATGCCCTTAAATATCGAACATACCAGTCCACAAAAAGAATTCATAAGACAAAATACATGAAAGTAAAACAAACCCTGAAGAACATGAGAATAAAATGGCACTCAACTAACAATAACAAATTTTGGCTCAAATCTAATCTCCAATTAGATTTGACTAGTAGCAAAGAAAAAGGAACCTACAAACTAAATAACAAACAGTGAAAAGAAGTAAAAGTAACAAACCAACACACCCACAAATTTAGTCAAAGTTACAATTACCCAAATAGTAAAAATCATGCAAAACCAGTATTAATACTAAAAATTAAACAAAAACAATGTAATAATAAAATTATAAATGCAAGTTTAAACTAAAGTAACCTAGATGGTAAAAGAAGTATAAAAATCCAACTTACCAAATACTGAGCAGAGAAGACATGAAAGACTGAAATTATCGAGTGCAGATATTAGGTCCATCCACACAAACTCACTAAACATGGGTATATCTACAGAGAGTGAGGAATGCACATTGAAAACTTACCACCGATCTCCTGGGAAAAAGAAAAATACCTAGCCCAGCAGATTACTTGAAGGCACAGTAACAGGTGGAAAGTGCCATAGAAAGAAATTTCCAACCAGTAGATATATCCAAAAAATCGTAACGTGAAAAAAAGAAATCATCAGCCGAAGGTAAGACACAAACTCCCAGTGAACTAAGCCTGTGCTTCCCCAGCAGACATTGTCGACCATGAGACCTCAAAACACATCTCAGAACAATTGTCTACTATTGCAGGAATTTAATCATCACCTGTATTAAATCTCAAATTCATATGAACAAATTAGAAATCGGAAAACAGAAATATTTTTAAAACAAACAAGTAAAAACAATGGAAATCAAATACAAGAAGTCAAAACTGATATAAATTTGTGATCAAGCACAAGCAACATTTTGTAGTTACATGGAGAATGAGTTAAAACACATGTCTATACACTAAAATGCTAATCAAGAAAGTGAGGATTGTGCTAAAATAGTATAGGAAGCTACCTGCTCTAGTATAGATGGCACAGTATGATTGGTGGAGGATAATCACTTGTTCTGAAATGGATCGAAAATAAAGAGATATAAAAGATTGGTGCTCTGTTAGTGAAAAAATTTAGCAATGCCTAGAAGGCAAACCAAGGTCAAGATAGCATTGGGTGAGTGTTGTACCATTTTGGGATTACTACTATTACTAAACAGTAAAATGTGGAAAGAAAGTACCACATATTCATACTTATGTAGGTATATAGCACTTGAAAAAATATATACTTAAAATATATTTACATGTAAATATTTTACCTCAGGTCTATTCCAAAGTGGACTGGAAGTAGGCAGAGGCTCCTCTATAAAAACATCCAGAGCTGCACCCGAGATCCACCCCTGACTATAAGAATGTTAACCCTTAGTACTGACCACAGAGGTGGAATTATCAGTATAGCACTCCAGTTTGTTCCAGTGTTTACACTTTTCAAAATTATCCAGGTATTCAATATTGAAAACTCTAACTAGGTAATATTACAGCAGGTAATAATAAAGTGTATGAATTAAGTCTTAGTTTTATCAAAATAAGAATTACAAGTATGTAAGATTATGAAATAGAAAAGATGTTTTGAATATTTTAGTTAGAAATTCAAGAGCTTACTTCATTACAGTAAATAAAAGTATAAAATAATTTAATTGATGACCTCTGCGTGTATTTTCTGCATTATTCTATGAAAAGTGCAAAATATATGTCATTACATCAAACCGAACCTTCTGCCTGGTTTATTTGATATAAAAATTTGTTCTAACCTCTACAACTTTTTACATCTTGCATTGCACAGAGACCTCGTAGCTCAAGTTACATAAATGAATGTAATCCCTGAGCAGCTAACATGCAGACCTCACTAAGAAATTTATTTAACATTTTTATGTATGTTTTTATATTTAACCTCCATAAGTTTCTAATTTTTACACATTACTTACTTTTATAAGAATAAATACAAACTATACTTAAAAAGCAAGAAATTTAGTATTATGTTTTGCCTCTTGTTTTTTTGTTTTTTTTGCTGTTGACTCACCCATGAAATCTAAACATTGTTTCTTGTAAAGATGATACTAGTACTGAAATTGCAGGGTAAAAACAAAAACGTTTTTTTCATCAGGTGGTCTGCTCTAATGTGTAAATTTACCATGCTGTCAGCTGATTAGAAAACAAAATAGTTATTGCTTGAAATAGATATACACACTTTTCATAGGCTATATGCATTTTTAAACAGGGTACATTTGGCATAAGTATTTTTAAAAGGGCTAGAGCCAAGGCTGCTCTTTCCTTCTATTTGAGTAAATAATATTTAAATAACAAGAAACTGTGCATGTTTATGTATAATGTAAAACTTTTGGTTTTAAATATTACAATTTTAAATGAAGACAACTTTTTATACTTTCATAATGTTTCTAATGTAACTCTTTAATGACTATGACTTTTGTTTTAATTATCACTAGAAAATTTTATTCATATTATTCAAATAATGTTATATTTTCTTCATTTAAAAGGAAAGTAAATCACAGCCAAAATAACTACTGACAGTGACACATAAACTTACTTCAAGGCATTAATTAAATCCTCTTCTGATATAATATCCCCTCTTCCAACATTGATGAAAAAAGGTTCCTGTAACATATGACAGGTTTTACTAAAGTTAAGTGAAATATCAAATTCTGAAAGATAAGAAAATTACACACAGTATTAACAACAAATAGCAATATGAATCAAATTTATCAAGTGGTGAAATTCTCCTTAAAATACAAATTATAGAATCTGGCCACAAACTGTGTGCAGTATTAAATTCCACACAGTATTAACAACAAATAGCAATATAAATCAAATTTATCAAGTGGTGAAATTCTCCTTAAAATACAAAGTTAAGAACTTAGCTTCATACTCTTTGGAGTATCAAAATTTCTACAAATTTATGGAACTTCTTCATGCACTGTTCAAACTGAATTGTCAAGAAATACAAAAAGTAAAAGAATTCAATATGAGCATCTAAAATGGATGTGGTACTATGCACTCTTAAAAGCAGTCCAGAAAGAATTAAAAAAAACTGTCTAACACTGTACACCTCATCTGCTGTCATAAACTTTAAGTGAATAAGGTCATTAATAAAAAGTTTTGTTGATGCTTTTTTCCTCAGTTTACTTTTTTTAAAATACCATCAATATAATATAATTCTGTTGCTTGTACAAATCATTAATGTCCCTACATTGACTATTTAATCCTCATTAGCACACCTTTGAAAGGTTACGTTTTGGAACACCTGGGGTCCAACCAGATCACAGCATAAAATTATCATTATAGTAAGCTCTGGATTGAAATTCCAAAAACCAGTTGCATTACAACTTTTATTAGGGTTAGCATGGAATGTGAACAACATAAAAATATATATATTCTAGAGGAAATATGTTAACAAATCAAGAAATTATAAAATTACATTGTTCCTCAGTATACAATGAGTGATATTAAACCATTCCTTATACGAACGGCATATCAAAAAATGCCAAAGTTTTATTATACTCCTATATTCAAGTCATTATCTACTAACATATGACGAGATCACCACAATACTGCAAAATTCAACTCAAAGAAAACTGAAAGTGTACGTTGTGGATCACCTTGGGTCTGACCAGACCCCAACACAAATGTACCCTTATAGTAGGCTATGGATTGAAAGTCCAATAAGTAGGTTATTTAAACAATTATCAAATGAGGTTTCTATAAAATAGGACATTTTAATCAATCATCACAGAGAACACTTGTTGAGGAATGAGATGTGTATACATACATGCTTATAACATTAATGTTATAAGCTAACAATCGAGATGATACCGTATTACTTTGATGAATTACCCTCAACAACAGCCTATATAGTGAAATAAACGTTTAGAAATTTGTTTCGTATGGTATAGGTGAACTGCATATATAGTGAAGGTCAATAATAGAATAAATATTATATTATAACCAGGTACTTCATCTGCCTGTTTAAAAAAAAATAGGGTCATATTGATCCAGGGTTTCTTTTGATAGTTACATGAACTGATATAAATTTGTAATGATTATGTAAAAAGATACAACCGATATAGTTGTTAAAGTTCATGTGGACCCCAGGTGTACTGATGAGGGTTAATCTTTAATCTTTAAATATTCTATCTAATAATTATTTCAATTAGTGAATTAAAGTTTCTGTTGGGTTTTGATTTCATAACTCAAGTAAAAGGTTTGTTTTTTAAGCTATATAACTATAATGACTTGTTTTTATAAATAACAGTATATGTGCATAAAAAAACCTTTGTCTGTCATCAGTATATTTTAAAAAATTTTGCTACAAACTTTGGAATAATTTAAAACACAAACATAAATAAAATACACTGGGCTGTAGCACTGAAATAAACAACGCAATTAAAGGTACAAAAAGTTTAATTTTTGTAATTAAAGAAAATCTGTTAATTACTGGCTCCTCGAATCTGCTTATGTCAGTGTGCTACCAGGAAATATCACACATTTTACTAAAACTTTAAAAAATTTTTTTTTCCCTAAAACAGAGAAAATATCTAAGCTTTCATAAGTTGCTGATTATGAAAAATAATAACGATACTGATGTTGAAAGTCTTAAAACTTCACGATACAACATCTTCGCAAACAGATGAAAGTCACTCACTTTCTGACACATTTTTAACACGTCTCCATTCAATAAACCCTCGGTATGTGGAGTACTTGGAAGGATATTACAGATGTAGTCACAGTAGGGTAATATTTCTGATATATCTGTCACAACTCTAGTAAAAAAAATATTTTGGTATTATATTCAAGAAAATCAAGTAACAAAGTATTTTAATTCCAAAAACATTTTCAGACCAGCTTAAATCACTAATCTTAGTTAATGAAAACAAACTCTTTAACAAAAGAAAACCTTTATTAGTCTTGATTAACTCTAGAAATATTGATGGGATCCATGTAAACTCCATCAGTTTTTAAACATATATTTGCATAAAAGTGTTCTTGGATCCCTGATTTTGTTGGATACAAGGCCAAATATAACACTTGTGTCACACACAAAAATATAAATACAAATACCATCAATATTGCAATTAATCCCACTAATTATAACTGGGGTTCCATTTTCTTTTGGCCAGCTCTTTACATCAAGTGTTGATACAGGCAAAATTATAAAATCATTCAATATGTGGATTCACATACAGTTTAGTAAAGGTTATTAAAAACAAGTTAGTAGTTTGAGGTTTAGAGCAATTTTAGTTTTTTAGAAATATTACACTTATAGCACAATCTCTATACTGTAAATCTGCACAACGTTAATGTCTGGGGTGCTCCTTGGTCCACTGGACCAACCCCTGAAACTGTGAAACTATAAATAACAGAACTTTGATTTTGTCAAGTGTATCTTCATGAAATTTGGCAAGCTTTCAGTCCATTTTAGATTTTTTAATACAGCATTTCTACTAAAGATTGTTTTATGAACTTTTGAAGCCTTTACAGAGTCAGTATTAATGAAAGGTGTTATTTTTGCTAAGAACAAAGTTACTTCTTCTAACCCTAGAATTCTCATATTTTCTTGGTACAGCATCTAGGAACCTCTTAAATGAATATCATCTATTTTCCTACATTTTATTTCTTATTTTCTCTACCCTAAAACTAAGAGCATACTTGATTTTTGAATATGTAAGGAAATCATCAATATACGGTTGAAAATATGAAATAAGACAAATAATACCATTCATTCTTTTAAACTGGCTGCAGTATTTATTAGAAGGTTCCATATTGCTTTTATATTCCAGTTTTATATTATTCCATATTACAGTTTCAAATGTTATATTTTTACATCTCTTTTCTTTTATAGTTTTATTCCAGAACTTTGTACCCACTAAAGAAGCAATCCTTGCTCCACAACTCAAATCACAGTGACAGTCATGAGTGGTTTCCAGCAGACCATAATATAAACAGCACTTGATCCCATGACATGCATATTGGTTAACTTGAGTTTGGGGAGTTTTAGATATTTCATTTTTACTCTGTTACTTTTGTAAAAAATATAAAACAATAATTATAACATACAGATAAAAAATGATTTGTACCACTAATTCCTTTTTGTACTAGAAGAGAAAACGTTCTTCCCGAAGCCTCATCTAATCTCACAAATTTGGTTATCCAAAAAATAAAGTATGTAGTTATCAAACATGCATTTTAGATCTCAAAATATATATCAGTCACTATAATATAATGTCTCAAACTACTTTTATTAATTTGGCTTTCTAAGTAAGGCATACATAGGTTAAAGAAGTTCTGTTAGCTATTCGGAGCAGCAGTATGATAACAAAAAACCACAAAATTCTTATGAACGGAATATTTTTCCCCACCAAGACCGAAATATTTTAGTAAGCATTATTTAGAAGAGGATTTGTGCTTCCTATTGGTTTATAAACATGTCTAGCAACCATGTAAAGTAGCAAACAATCTCACAATTCAGAGAGGTGGAAGGCCTTATCTGGTTGTTTGATATCTCAACAAATCAAGAAAATAGGAGGTGTAACTTTTAAATTCTTGCTTATAATTATGTATTATTTGTGTTTCTACTTAGTTGGAAACTGCAGCAGCCTATTTTTGAAGTTAAAAAATAGCGAAGTGTATAAATCAAAGATCAGATACATCATGTGGTAGAGGAAAATGAAGACTGAGAATTTCATTATTTCCTTTTTTAAATTAAAAAAGTTAAAACTTCAATAACATAAAAATTTGAGTTGTAAACTACATTCACATGCCAAGTTTACAAATTTAGTTTGATAATAAATTTGTTTTATCAAATTTTCAATATAGCAATGTAAAAGTCATGACAAACATGAAATATCCATTCCTGTAAGCACAAGGTTAACACAAATATTTATCAGCATCTTTACACCTTCAATCACATGTCCAACAGAAAGTTGCAGAGCAGCATGTAAACATTTCAAAAACTGAATTCTCTAATAGATTTAGCTTTTACTGACATAAGTCAAAGTATTTCAATATTTGTTCTTATTTATACATTGCAATACAAGCTAAATATCTTTAAAAATTCTTTAAAGGCTCCTACTAAAATCTAGTAAATGATGAAATACTAAATGGTATAAGTTAGATTTTTCATTATATTAGCTAGATATGCACCTTCAATATTTGAGAAGTTAAAGAAACTGTATGTTTATAAAAGCTAAATTTAAAAGTATAAGAGATTCGATTGGTTATTCATGAATAAATATCAAGAATATTTAATTGTGATCTTAATCCATTTTAACCTAGACATCTTGTTTTAGTTCGAAGTACAGAACTTTAAAAAGAATAACTTTGTACAAATTGCTCAGTACGAAAGTAATATACATGACAATAATATGAAACACAGGAGGTCACATTTTTATAATCCAAAACATAAACAACATATGGATAAAAAACTAAGTATATCCACAAGGTCTCATAAAAACTTCTCTAAAGATAGGCCGGTGAGTTGTATTTTGTCCTGTGCTAATCCCATGTCAAGCAAATGCTTTAACAACTAAACTCGAGATTAATCCACTAGCAACTGCTAATAAAAATTTTTTAACAACTACTAGTAGATTAATCCTTTAGCTGAGTTGATAGAGCACCTCATGGCTTGCAAGAGTTAGATTACCACAAGACAAATTTGTGCTTTTCCCACAACTCTGAGGTAAGACCCAAAGATGGGTCTTGTATTGAGAGGGAAAGAATGTGGTAGTAATTGGTCCAATAGACTGATCCTGTGCACATTCAGTTAAGTATTACACTGAAGTAGAGAATGTATGTGCATGTTGACTGGTTATACAAAAACAAATAATAGGTGGAACTGCAGTCCATGTTTTATTAATGATACGAGATATAAATAAGCATTGTGGTTGTTTGAGTTGTTAACAATTGTATTACTAGCAGCTGCTGCATTTTGGAGAAGTATTGGCAACTATAATTATCATCAAACGTGGCAAGCTGTTAGTCAACAGTATAAGTATTATCATCAAACGTGGCAAGCTGTTAGTCAACAGTATAAGTATGTTGTACACAAAAAAAAAACAAATCAGATGTGTTACTTTATTTTTGTACTAAATATATGTCTGTTAAATTGCTAAAGTCAGACTGACTCAGATTCTAACAAGTTGGGGTGAAAAGTGTGTTCATGTAACTAATAAAAGTACTTTTTTTCCATCATACAGTTCACAATCTGTATTTACATAACCTCTACAACATCCTAAATGTTTATCTAAGGTTTTTTTCAATATACCTATATACTGTATCTGATATTCTCTCTACTGTAACACAAACTATTCCAATATCAGAAATGTAATGTAGTTGATTTCGTGAAATATTGACAACTCTGACATCATATTAGATGGCATTCTGTACAAGGTTGGGGAATGCATCTTTTGACCTTCACCTGTGCACATTGGGTCAAAATATTCTTCCTGTCCTAAATTTAAAGGAAAGTTATTTGAAACACAAGTCTCGATCTCTCTTATAGAATATAAAAATTTATTTTGAAATATATTTTTCGTTACACAATAGTTATTATAATAAATACTGACATTATGGCATCAAAGCTTTAATTTGGTTTACAGCAACTTCAGAAATGTTTAATAACTATCTTACTTATCAAAGTCAGGTTTTTTTGTTTTATGAGTACTTCTCACCAATCCCAGTACCGTAGCATCTCTCTGTTTTAAAAATTTGGCAACTGTAATGAAAACAAAAAAAAGACATCATCATATACAATCAACATATGTTCTACTCATCCAAACAGCTCTATTACACTTAGGCTTAGAGACAAAGAATAACTTATTAATTAATGTTTCATTAAATTATAAAATAAAAGTTCTGAAAATTAAAACTGTAAATTTCAGTTCTTTGTTTAGATAGAATAAAACTTCAGAAATACAGCAGAGGATTTGATAAAGCTTAGGAGTAAAGACTCAAACATTTTAAGGACTTTTTTTTTGTTATAAACAGTTTTAAATAATCACATATATATGTTTCAAGGTGATTCCTATTTTCTTACATTACGAATAAACCAAGTTTTCTTAAAAATTTTAAAATATTACATTTATTTAAATAGCACTTTAGTAATTCAAGCAGATTCTTTCTGATACTTAAAATATTTCATTAGTTTACATTAAAATGCAGCATGTATGAGTTACATCAAATTAAAATGGTAAAAAAGTACTTGTAAATAGACATTATATTTAAAAAACAGGTTATGAAGAGCTAAAATATACATTAATAAAAAGAAACTTAACTGAAAAGAATACATAAAACATAACAGAAAAGTAGGAAGAACCACAAGCAATATACAGCAGTAGCAAATACTACATACATTGTTCTCCCATAGTACTTGTTTCTTATCTAAGTTATTAAAGTTTGTAAGTTCTAATTTATTCCACTAAATCTTGACGAAACTCACCTCCAAACAATTGTGTTAAGGAGGGGGAAGATTCTACAAGAATGTATACAATTAGTGGGGCTCTCCTGGTCCCAAGAGCAAGAAAATAGAGAGAGCACATATGATTGCTGAAAAGCTGCATCAGATCAAGATGCCATTGTTTATGAATTATTACCAAAAACACATTAGAAAGAAAAGGTGCAAGACAGAACTAAGGCAACCTGACAAACTACACACACAAATAAAAACAACAACAAGGTACCTGAGACAAAATGGAAGAAAACTGAGGGCAAGGTCGAAAACAGGTATGTACAAGTCCCCCCAGTAAAGCTGTTAAGGTCATAATGGAACACCTCCAAAAGAATGTGAAGCATAAAAATGAACAAAGATGTCAAGTAGATCAAGAAAAAAGGAGGAGATCCCTAAACTAAAATAAAAGATTGAGGTAAAAGAGGCTCATGCACGAGAGGAGCCCAAAATTCAGTAAAAAAATACTGGAGAATGAGAAAACAAATGATGAAACGTGAATAATACAAGCAGTGAAGGATGAACTTTAGAATCTTTGATACACATTGGGAAGAGTGAACAAAAAACAAAAGCAGATGTGGAAATAATAGTGGTGTAACATAAGATGGTACAAACTCAGCTGAAGTAAGAGAAACAGGAGGTTGGAAATCACGGATTTCAGATCATAACTGAACCAACCACTGGTGCACAATGGCTGTAATATCACCAGCTGTCAGTGACTCCAGTTACCATGACATTACTGGAAGACTCCTGTGAAAGAGTCTTAAAAACCTCAGAAATGTGGAAACATGAATGCATAATCCATGAAACTGGTTTTCATGATTACTTTGTGTGCACTGCCGTGCAATTTCCTGCACACGCCACAAACCTTGAACAAAGTTCCCACCCCTATACATGTCACCGTGTATCGAGTCAGCCTATGATGTGATCATCCTTAGACTATAGCTCTCCATAAATAGGAGGGCAACAATTCCTTTAGGTGTGGCAATTCTCATGAGCATATGAATGCACAATCATTCTTTCTTTGGCATTGTTTCTCTTCAGATGTTCTTTTTTGCGTTAGATGTTTGTGCTTATTGTTTTGACCTTTTAATACTATTTGTAGTGTAGTTTTTTCTCTCCTTAATTTTCTTGCCTTAACGAACGAATGATACTGAATTGTAAGTTCATCAGTTGGGAATTTCATTTGGATTATCTTCAGTTAGATTTTTTTTAATCAATTTTTTATTTTTGGGACACACATCCCATTGTATTTAATCAAGCATATGGTCATCATTAGATCTAGGCACCATACCTGTCTCAGTTTCTTTCTATAAGTAAAAAAGAAAATTGAAATTTATCTACTACGTATTTTACAAAAGCAAACCACCCCCATCTATAGATTATTTCTCTTTTGTATTCTTTGCGACGTATAATCCAAGAGATGTCTTTACATCATAATATAAACTGTAGCAGGAATGAGGAATGCCAATTTGATTAATGGGTGATCAACAACTTACTTTTTGAGTTACTTTGTGAAAAGATGCAGAAACACTGCTCGCTTCTCAAAGAGCAAAATACAAATCACTACTGGTTCTGCAATAAATCCTGGTCACACCTGCAAATTGTTTGTTCAATCAAGGTAATGTGTTGTAATTCAAGGATAAACATGCAGACAGTTACCTGATCTCCACAAACCTCAAAGTTTGTGGATTTGGTATATAAAAGGAAAAGTGCTGTGAATTGTTACACAAGAGAAAGGCTCTTAATATTTTACCTGTGGATCCCAGAGTTCCAGCTCCAAGTATTCCAATGGTAAGTTCATTCAACTGACGATACTCATACAACTGAAAATCCCTAAAAAATAATAATGAAGTTCCATAAAGCTATTTTGCTGTTAACTTCTTAGTTGTCAGAGAAAAAGATAATGTACTAAATACTGCTACCGATTCACAATATTCACAATGTCATGCAAAGAAAATGCAAGAATCAGGAGTAATGTATCCAGTTATATTTTAATTAAAATAGTTTTAGCAAATTTGTATTTTTTTGCACATCGTTATTTTTTATTGATCATAATCATAATATTTAGTTATGTAATGAAATCAGCTTGAGTTTTTTAAAAAAAAACACGATTAATATGGTTCATATAATCAAAACAACTCAGGATATTTAAAGCCATTTTCATCTGAGCAATGTCATAAAAAAAGTTGATGTTTTCTAACCTATCTCTTGTAATATATATTTCATATGGACAATATTTCTACAATCCAGGCTGGAACATACTAAATCCATTTGAGGTCATGTGCTAAATTCAGCCAAGGTTGTAATTTTCCGAGTCCAATCACAAAAGCTATCTATTTTATCATGAGATAACTGTATTGTATCCTACTTTACTCTATGTGGAGGGCTGCAGTATGACTGTCATGTGAAGCTGAAGTACTTTCAGTTTTTTCTGAATGGTCAGCGACAAAATGAATTGTGAACCCAGTTTTTACATTTTAAACAGATTTGTTTTTGGCTTGAAGGAATCACCACTTACTATAGAAAACTTGTCTTTATCATACATTCTTCAATCTGCTCATCATATGTGCTTGTTTATTATTATCTAAATACAGTTATCCATCTACTTTAGTTTTTACACTACAACATAATAGTTCTAGTGCTAATAGATACGCTGTTTTGGGTTTCTTTTTCTCAAGTAATAAAGTGTTTCATTTTTATTATTACTATGTTTCCTCTCTTTTATTCCACCCTTTATAGATAACTAAATCTATCCTTTTACCTACTAGGTCTCCAAATCTTTAATTGTTGTGGACATCAAGTAATTATAAAATTGTTTTATCCTTAAATGACCACAAATTTATAGAATCATTATCCAAATGATGACAATATCTTAAATGTAACCAAAAATGTGGACTAAGTAATCAGTTTTAAAACACACGGTTATTTTATATATACATATAGTTTATTCACCTACCATACATTTTTTTGTGTGATTCCCACTTTTGGTAGAATTTTCTCTCATTATTAATGATCTGACCAATAATGTATTCAACCATTGCATTCCCAGAACTCACATCTGCACATCTTATAATTACAAAGCAAAGACAAGGCCGGTCAGGTCCATCTGCAAGAATATGACAAATGGGCCTTAGCAGGGCTGGGCAGGGATTTATAAATCCAAGTGCCATGGCTGGGATACATAAATCCATTTTACTATAACTAATGCTGTTTCCTCTCTTTTGTGCTATCCTTTATAAATAACTACACCTGTCTTTCCACATACTATGTCCTCGAATCTTCAATTATTGTGGATATCAAGTAATTGTAAGACTGTTTTATCCTTGAATTACCACAAAGAATCATTATCCAACATTGATGGCAATATCTTAAATGTAACCAAGAAGTGTGTGTGTGTGTGTGTTATATAAAAAGTTTCTTCACCTACCATACTATTTTTTTTTGTGATTCCCACATGTGGTAGAATTTCCTCTCGTTATTAATGATCTGACCAACAACATATTCAGCTATTAAATTCCCAGCATTCATATCTGCATACCTTGTAATTACAAATGGTGGTTCGGGCTTAAAAAAATAAAACAAGGATTATCCATAGTGTCACTTCAAATAATTTTATTATTTCTGTTACTGATAAACAACTAATACTAATAACAAATTAGATAAATCATTGTCTAGATTTGAATTATCTTGACCTTTTAAATTTATGTAATAAATAGATCTTACACAAATGTCACCAGTAGCTTTTAATAAATTTATCCATATTTTGTTTTTACCAATCCTTCAAAAGAATGTTATATGTTCCATCAAGAATACAATGTCAATACTGTAAGGTAGTACATGTGCACCATTAACTTGTGCCATACACAGCCAACAGGTTTGTGCCTGTTCCAAAAACTGTTTCACTGAATACTGTGTTGTATTTTCATTACTTCACCTGACTTGTTGCAATTATTAAAGTTCTCATTCTGTCACCACTATTTTCATGATGTTGTATGTCCAAACATGAACCTAACACAACAAAAGCAGTTCCCAATATAATAACAACACTAGAATATGGTATACAGAACATACACAGACCAACACATTAACAAAGAAAACTTGTGTCAATGACATCCTGATAAACTGATAAAAAATCTTTTTAAATATGTCATTGTTACCCGTGCAGCATAAAAACAAATTTTACCTTATTTTTAAAAAAATTGAAGGAGATACAAATAATGCAAAACATTTTTCAAGCTAAGATTGTGTCTGTTTGTTCACATCTTTCAGCCCCTATAATAGTAGGCCTATAAAGATATGGAATAAGCATATGCAGGTTTAATGTCTTTGACATCAAATTTTCAGTGTCAATGAGAAACTTTGAAATATAATTTTTCCACAGAAGACAGACCAGGCCATACTATAAATTTAAAATTTAATTTATTTTCTTTAATTTTTATGCTCTCATAAAAATATGACCATTTGACATATACTGTTACATGAAAAGCAAAATTTTGATCATTTCTTTTTAAAAATAGCTACACATCAGCCCTCTGTTCAGATAATAAGGAAGGCTAGTAACTAATACAAAAATGCTACAACAGTCAGAAAAGTCTGGATATAGTTGTGCAATGACAAAACATTGTTAACTGATAATATTATTGTACCTTGGTGATAGAAAATTATGACATCTCCAACATTGGTTACTGTCATATATTTCATAACAAAAAACAATCAGCTTTAAATTATTTTTCTTCCCAACGTACTATTTTTCATCTCATTTTGAACTATTAAGTAGAACATAAGAAGCTTAGAAAATTTAGCTTTACTTTCTTGTTCAAAAAAACTAAAATAAATCTTAAGATATAAATTATCCCTTTTTATTTTTCAAGAAAGTTACTTATCAATAAGTAGAGAAAAATGGTATTGAGACTATCGTTTTTTGTCCATCTGAATACTCAATGGAATCTAATACAGATGCTAGTTTCTCAATTTTTGTTTTTTACTTTTCTGTTTAAAATAACTATTTACTTTAAAAATATTTACTCACTTTTAGAACATAAATCAAATTTCCATGATGTTCTATTAACAGAAAGATAAAACACATATAATGTAGCTATTGTAGTTAAACCACAGCCAGCTTAATATACCACATAAATATACCTTTTGAGGATCTATGAACTGGATTAAAGGTTCCATACCTAGAATGAAAACACACAATTTAAAATGGTTTAATCAATATATCATTAAACACTTTATTCAAAAACTAAATACTTCCTTGTTATCGATAAAATATTTATTCTGGTATTACAGTAGATTATGTCTAACAGCTACATTAAAAACTGGGTCTTATTCATAAAATATGCAGAAAAATTCATTATAACCCTGAAAAAAGTCTCAAATCTTATTTCAAAATTATACATCAAACACAAAAATTGATAAAACTGGAATTATACAAAAAATAAAAATAAATAAATTTGACCCAATCTTTGCAATCAATTTTGACTAGCAAAAAAAATTCATTATTGAGTTATTCTGTGTAATTATTATGTGTGATATAAATCACATATTAATACCATCAATAAATTATAATCTGTTAAGGAACTGTTAATAAATCTTGTGTGTGATTTTATAATTAAGAAGTCTCACATCTTTGTTTGTTCCACATAAACTTTCATCAAGTTGGTGATCATCATTGCCAATGACTGCATATTTCCTAGTATTTAAAATAAATACTAACTATAATGTAGCCACAGCCTCTTCCGTAGGACAGACGTGCAAGGACAACCTTGAATGACCAAATGGTTCCTTGTTGTCCATATGCTATTGTACTTTTTTAAAATGTCCCCTATCAGTCTCACATCATCTTGAAACTCATTGTCTCAACTCAGTAATGCAGCTACAGCACTTGAAAATTCTATAACAGTAAAACTGGAAGCTATTTTGGCTTGTGACTCTTACATGCTGTCAGAATATGTTTTTCTTTCTTCTTCTTCTTTTTTCCTTTTGTCAATTTTCAAATAAAACGCTTTTACTTATACGTCTTAATAGTATAAATATATGTGTTGTCACTGGGCTTAAGATTCTTCAACAGTAGGTGTCTGTGACTTCTTTAGTTGTTAGCAATAATTTGATGAATAAACAGCATGCCCTCAGGTCAGAACTGGGGGGTGGGGGGCAATTGGCATGGGTATACGATTTTGAGGGGGCCTACTTCCGAATACAGAATAAACATGAATGTACTATTGTATTTACTGCTTCTTATTACAGTACTGTACTCTATTGTCTTATATACATTTTGAATAAAATTGCTTGCCATTACCTTTTTTATAAATCATTCTAGTTCTTTTATTTGTTTCTGTTACTTGTAAGTACACCATGTACACTACATGTGCATGTACATACCCATACATAAATCATATGTATTTAGCACAGATTACAAAAAATACTTAATGAGCAGTTTGAAACGGGCCTACATTTCCATCTGGCCTGGACCTATTACCACCTTTGCACGGGCCTGCATGCACTTCACTTGATTTCAAAATAATATATATATATTCGAACAAGTTAAACATATGTACAATGAATTTTTCACAATATAGAAATTATAGGCATATCATAAACAATATATGTGTATTTCTCTTCTTCTTGTACTAAGTCCACTTAGGCCTATTCAACTGCTTCAGCATTTCAGTTGACAAGCCGATCTATCTTCTCTATTACTATTAGTATTACTATCGCACTAGTACTACTAGTAGTATCCTATGTGCGATTTAAGTTACAATACATCACAATTGTGGCGCGAGTTACCGTAATCGTTTGGTCTTCTTTCTTCTGAATATCCTCTGTTCCTTTTATTAAAGTGCACTCAGGTTGATTCATTTATTTTCGAACCACGCTTTGGCGGAATAAATTATTTTTCTTATCTTATTTTCTACTGTTAGTTTTACTCTATATTAACGTTAGGCCTATCATTTCTACGGTAGTAAATTTCACGCTGCACTTTCCTCGCCTCTAACTTTACTCTCACTCGTCTCACATTATTTATATGCTTATCATTTAATCGTCTGTTCACATTATATATTCTCTAAGTCAATGTATTGCACGAGACATTTAATAGTCTCAACATCAATGACTTATAAATACAACTTCCTACAATTATAACAGATTATTATAACAAAAACTAGACAACAATAAAATAATAAATTAAACAATAATATTTAAACTGATCAGTCTTTTATATCATGACACATGTATGGTTTGGAAAATTTTTAGGGTTTCCAGGTAAAACTGTACCATGGGAATGTTTTTTTCTTGTATACATATATAAGTAGATGAATTCCTGTAAAAATGTAAATCTACAGACAAAGCAAACAATTTTCTTAAATAACATTTAACGAATAAGCAACTTCTTTCATGAATTTTTTTGTATGGAAATGCCTATGATGTATAAAATCGCTGACGTAAAACATTTTAATACAAAACATACAGAAGAAGTTGCTAAAAGAACTATACATATCATTACAGCGGAAGTCACGTGACGCTGCTAGCGCATGCTTGATTAAGTTCCTCGAATTATCCGGGACGCGTGATCGAGACGCCTCTTTGTTAGTATATAAGCTTGGCAGAGAAAAGCCTGGGGATGGTGAAGCAAACAGTAGTAACAGTGAATTCTGTGTAATTTATGATTCTGTTAGTTTCGAGCTAGTGAGCCGTAAACTGTGTGTTTTGCACTCTTATAGAGCGAAGTTATCGAGGTTGTGAATTGTTGTGATTTACAGCGTGTATTATAAAAGTTGTCAAGTTGAAAGTGACGAGAAACGTAGTGAGTGTGGAATTACTGCATACTAAAAGTTTGTATTGAGAACAAATAAACTGGTTTAATCAAGAAAGGACTTGTATCACTGAAGTTCTTCAGAAAGAATTTCTACCAGAAATTAACAAACAAGCTGATACGTAACAATATAAATATGTGTGTATTAGGGTGACCAGATATTCAAATTTTGCTTGGACAGTCCTGTTTTTGGGTAGCTTAATTGTCCCAAGAACTTTTTTTTTAGACATACAAAACGTCCCAGTTTTGTGATGAAGACATCAAACTGTCAGTCACATCAAATCACGGATGTAATAGGCCTAACTGACTCACTTATTGTTGTAACATGAACTCTCCTTCCACCAAACTCTTGAAAGTTTCACCTGTGTTTGGTGAGGGACCTGAATTTGTACAGGTCTGAATGTGGAGACAGTTAAGGTAGTGCTCATGGCCAAAACACATCTTACACAGTCATGTACTTAGTTTTATGACTATTTAATGGAAATATGTCTAAAATGTTTTAAAGAAATACTAAAACTTAAATGTAGTACTTTTGAAAATGTTATGGATTCTTAAATAAATTCAGGTAAGAATTAGCCTATTTTAAGATGAATTAGATAAAGTGAATAATTAAAGATTTCTCAGATGTATAGTTTGACTATTTGATATGTGTCTATCAAATTATTTCAACACACAATGCCAATGTTAATACATTGTAGTAACCATTTTGAAATTAAGGGCATGGGCTGGGCTGTCCCAGTTTTTCAGTTTGGAAATCTGGTCACCCCTAGTATGTTTATACATACATGTGTTACTGTTTAAATGAATGCATTAGCAACTACAACCTAGACCTTTTTCTTGATAAATTAATAGATTTTGATTTATGTTTAAGCTCTTAGAAATTAGACCAACAATAATAAAAAAGGACAAAGGAAGTAATAATCCAAAAGCAGAGAACCCATGTATAGCCAATGAATCCAAATTTAATAGTAAGTTTCAAATCTTGCTTTTTTTTCCTGGCAAACATTATAATTTGGAAATAAGAAATTGATGAGAAAGTAAACCCTGTAACTTCAAAGATTCTGTTTTTGTTTTTTGTTTTTTTCATTAAACACAGTATATTTCAAATCAAAAACCAATTTGCATTCAATGTCAATAGAAAACAATATCAAACAATCATAACACCATTAAATACATTAAAGAAAGTTTAAAATAGTACCTGCCCAAGTACACTGCACCCACTTTAGAGATGGAATGTCGTACATAAACTGTCTTAACATAAAGCTGTCAGCAACTAATAACTCTGCTCCTTCTAGCTGCTTAATAACATCATTTGTCAAAATAACTTCCCAAAGCTTACTTGACTTCTCTTGTTGGCCTGAAGTAAAAACATTAACAAGTGTTAATTAATTGTGTCTGTTCCTGGAGTTAATAAAACACACGTAAAATACTTTGTCTTTATCAAAAATATTGAAACCAAATAAATTTGAAGATGCTTAACTGAATTGTTCATACTCAGACAATCCTCTCTCATTTAAAATGTTTTTTGTTTGAAAGTCTATGTTGAACTGTTTTACTTCAGATATCTATTCAGACCAAAATGATGCAGAGCATGAATTATTATCATTGTTGGCATAATTGTGTGATATTTTGTGAAACAAAATATACATCTAATATAAATAAAATATGGTATATCTAAGCAAACTATTTTCATTCAAAAAATATGCATTTCCTAACGTTGTTGTATGCACTCATGTGTATGTGTCATTTGTATATGATAAGACTAATCTTAGGTATTTTTTCAAAAAGGTGCAGCCAAAATAGGATTCAGCATGCAACTTACAGGAATGAAATCAAAATTGACGGACAAACTGGTAGCTACACTTATAACATTGATGAGAATTTGACAGCAAATATTCATTCATTAGTTAGCCAGGCCGCGTTTTAGGTTCAACTTATGGCATGATGGTGAGGTAAAACAAAATACGCGGCCAAGCTAACTAATGAATGGGTATTTGTTGTAAAATTCTTATCAGTGCTATATCTGTAGCTTACCAGTTTGGCCGTCAATTTTTATTTTATTCCTATAACTCCTTCACTTAATTCTTTTTTGTCCACACCTAAGGTGTTTTTGATTAGATATAATTTCTTTTTGTCAATACACGCCAATAAACCACAGCAAGTAAGAAAGTGACACTCGATAGTAACCAACATTAGCTTTAGGATAGCAACCCTATTATTCGGAACAGACCTATACTTTATAGAACCAACCAGATCCTTTAAAATACGTGGTGGTAGTTTTCCTCTCTAAAACAGTGTTAATAACATCCTTTATAGTAACCCCATGGAACATGATTAACAGTTTCTTTTCATCACCTGCATGCACTCGGTAAAGCCGTATCAAACATCATTATTTACGCTAATTGCTTAAACTAATATCACGTGATGCTAAACACACTTTAAGTAGGAGAATATCGTAAAATTTAGCTAATTTGTGCTTAAAAATTGGCAATGAATAATAACCGTCCACCTATATGATTATTTCTGAAAATTTCAGCTAGAAACAACTAATCTAGTTTGTTTGGCCTAACCAATACTTTGTATCTGCTCTTTCTTTCACCCTATTGTTACGACATCGAGGTCACGTGACTAGTATCACGCCACGCCATTCTCGAACATTCACGTCTTTTCCTTAAATCTCGTGATCCTTCTAGATATAGTGTAGTCTTGTATATATAAGACCGGCCACGAAGCGACGAGGAGGTAATGAGTAATTAAATGTATGCGGAGAATAT